CGAAATTCTTAGATGACCTAGCTCTTCTATCTCAGTCACATCAACAAATGCAGGTAAGGAGACTACTAGTGTATCAACAGTTTATGCATCAGTCAGCCTCAACGTACACAAAGGAAAATATAAAATACTCAAATACAACATGGAGAACACTAACCTAATCACACTTGATGGAGAAATTCTGGAAGATGTGGAATGTTTCACGTACCTATCTGATCGTGGAGCATCTTATGCAGATGAAAATGCCAGGATTGGCAAAGCAAGGGCCACATTCATACAATTGAAGAATATGTGGAACTCAAAACAACTGTCTGTAAGCCAATATCGAAGTCACAATACGAGCGTGGAGACAATTCTACTGTAGTGATCTGAAATTTCGAGAACTACCACAACAATCAGTAAAACAGTACAAGTATTTATAAACAGTTATCTACGCGAGATACTCAATAACCGTTGGTTGGATACCATCAGCAACAGTGTACTATGTGAGAGGACAAACGAACTTCCATTTGAGGAGGAAATTAGAAAAGGATATTACATGTGGTTAGAACATAAAATACGGAAATCATGAGACTGCACCACGAGACAAGTGGTAATTTTGAATCCTGAAAGGAAACGGAAAATAGAAGACCAAAGGTATACAGTGTGCCTTTTATTGGAAACAAAGGAAAGATGAATAGCATTTGGGAAGGATTCCGTAGGACAGAGTTCGTTGGAGATTGTTGATAGTTCGCTTATGATCCTCCACGACGAGGGTTAATAGGCGTAAGGAAGTAGTTAAGTTATTTGACAATAAATGCATCCTGTCGAGATTGCAATAATCTCTTCTCTAAAGCTATGATAATAGTTTTCTTATAGTATTGTTCATCAAGACTTCTAGGTTGAAGTATTAATAATTTGTTATATCCTCTTATGAAATGTGCCTCTTAGGTCTTTTAGTGATACAAAATTCACCCGTTTGAATAAAGATTATCACATGTAAAATTAACAATAGTTTTTTTCCGTTTCATAGAAGTGAACCTCATTCAGTGAACATAGTGAATCCATAATGAAGTTCATTTTTAGTATCTGTTTTCTTAAAATAATAGAGAAGTAGAACAAGATAAATTATTTCCTTACTTTAGTGACTGGAAAATAATTTCATGTAATTAGTTCCCTTTATGAATTTAAATAAAGCCAGAACATATATTGATGCAGAATAATATGAATTCATTATACAATATATATATTATATAATTGGCTATATTGAGTCAACACACACAGTATGCACATATGGCAATTAAAGAATGACCAGTTGCAGTCCTAAACATCAATGGGAAGAGTCAAACAAACGATACCGAATGAATTTAAACTTCACCCCATCGCACAAGCAAGTGGCTATTAGGACTCAGTAGCTCAGTGGATAACGCATTGGCGTTTGAAACGGAATGTACTGGGTTCTAGTTCCAGAGTGAACATCAACTCTTAGATGCAAGCACATCCAGCTGACGAGTCCCAAATTGGACGAAATGCGCGTCCTAGATTCAACTGCTAGCCACTATCCATCTCTGCTTACCGTGCTTGAGAATTTAGGCTTTATCGAGGCAACACACACAGTATGCACATATGGCATTTAGAGACTGACCAGTTGCAGTCCTAAACATCAATGGGAAGATTCAAACAAACAATACATATAGTTATTATTATATATAATTGCTCCACCTACAACTTCAAGTCTTCCAGCCTAACATCATAACATTTATATTCTGCTATTAATTCTTGCAGAAAATATTCCTCTCAATGGCTCTGTGTTATTTCTCTTGGTACAAACTGCCACTTTTCGCCTTTATACACGCATTATTTTGGCTCCCCACCGTGTAAGTATTTTTTTTATGTTGTTTCCTCAACACCTACAGTTGGTTAACTGTAAAACTAAATATAAATATCTAAGACTCACAACTCAGTGATAAAATGTCGAACATCAACATTTTGATAAATGTAAAAACACATGCACATCATGCACATATTTTCTGCGATTTATCAACAGGTCTTCATATCACAATTGAAAACGTTTATTTGGAATCAGAGTGGATGTAAATGTATCAGAAGTAGATACGGTGATAATGATCATTATAAAATAATGCAAATGTTCACAGATTTACTGTAAAGTTTCATGAATTATGCAGGTGCATACTTTGTAGAGGTGAATCAGTATTGAGTAAATACCTGAAACGAAAACTTATCGGGAAACCAAATAAAAAAATAACTCTAACCGAATTTGATACTTATGATACGTATGAAACAAAGGAAGAAAGTATTGGTATACTAATATTTCTACTTAACCTATGCAATGAAAACCGATATGATATTGTTGTGGCCAATATGTGTGTGAGGTCCGAGAGAAAGAATGAAAGCGAATGAATAATAACAGAAAACGTATGCTTAGTGGGAACATGGTTATGAATGTTGGATCTGCTGCGCTAAGTTAAACGAGGTAGACATAGTATGGACACCTTACTGGTACTGTGAATCTAACAATCATTCCTAAGCCTTTGTAAGTTATGCAACTTGTGTACATCAAAATTGAAAAATCAGTACAGTTTGTTGAAGGTGGTGACATGGAATCATGGTGTGAGTATTGTTTGATGAAATCCAAATAAAAATTGAAACTCGTCTATTCGTTCCTTAATTATTTAGTTCCTATAATTTAAGTATTGTTTACAAAGTATTGAGTTTATTGAACTTTAATTTTGTGTTAAATATAATCCTACAATAGACGAATTATTTAGGAATATTTCTCATAATATTTACAAATGATCTTCAATTAACTTCAATGTTATGATTAGTTGTGTTTCAAAAATACCGTTTTCTGTACTCAGTATGGTCTATCAACTTGTAATTTATGCGATTTTAAATTTCACTTTTATGACCATATGAACTGTGTAGTAAAATCGTTTTTCTTTAGTCTTATTTCGTTGATTGAAAGTTTAGGAAAAGGAAGGTTTAGTAGTGTATTCAGAGTGAGAGTACAGAAAAATATGCCGTAGATTCATTATTAGAGGCTTGTGATACGGAACATACATCATCAGTTTATAGTCGGGATCAAAATGACAATCAATGGGAAGTCAGTTAGAAAATCATGGAAAAAACACTCAGTAGAACATACAGAAAGTATTAGATTGATATCACGTTGGAATCATGTTTTACTTCTGAATACACTCAGATAGATTTGGTTATCCCTACAGATTGAAGTAAAGAGAGATCAATGATTCAATAAATTCCATATGAACGCGATAATAATTATGCACCAGAATGAGAGTTAACCAATTAGTGAAAAACATGTCAAGACTACGTTTTTTATATACCTGATTCGAGAATATTGAATGTATGAAGCGGATTATCATCCATGAGTTCCACACGAAAATAAACATGCTATCCGATATTCCTCGGTTTTTAATATAAATAGTATTACTTAATTATAACGGCTTATTATAAATTTTTTTTTATTTGCACACTCATTTATAAAAATGATCTTGATTTAATTTCCATCTAAGATATCTGATCGCGATTTCCCGTGACCATATTTCACCAGTCGTACCATATGTAAGGTAGGTTAGTTTTTCACTTCTATAGTCACATTTTCATTGTCACTAAAAAATTGTACCTATATTACTAAAAATAAAAACAAGTGAATATAGGATTTAATCACTCATTTCCAATTTTATAAAATGACTTAAAAATGGTTTATCAGCAAACCGGTATAGTTCCTTGTAAGTTTCAAAAACGAGTATTGTGGTCATACTGCAGAGTAGTAAAAATATACAGGGCGGCACTTTCACATGAATCAAAATGCTTTGTTTGAACAGTACTTATTCAATAACCACATAAATCAATATTATATTTGATTTTGGTTTTAAACGATTTCTGTAACACTGTTTCTACTACTTTATTATTGAAGTACTCCTCAACAGAGTTAACTGATATGCATCCTCATCGTGTTTGTCTAAAAATGTAGTGGTACAATCTAAGATAACAATGATTGTAGTTTTCACTTGACCTGTTAAATAACAAAGATTATTTGGAGTTGATTATCAAGATTTATTTAACACAATTACGGAATGACGAATATGAAGCCGCTTTCATTCTTGATTCGATAAGGTTATTATTTCCACATCCTCCATAAAGTAGAGACAAATTTATCATTTCTAACAAAGTCACTAAGGTCAAAATTAGCTGATTCTTTGAAAACTATTTAGAAATTGTTTGGTGATAGAACAAAACATCGCACAGTAATCGAAGTTAAACAGAAGACACTTACCAGGAACCTTATTATTTCTCAATGCAACATTGTTGTATAATTTTCAACTGAACATACGAGGTGAAGTAGGTAAGTAGGTACATTGATTAAACAATGAAAGCAAGGAAAACAAACAGACAATAGAATAATTTTTTTAGATTAAATCATTTTATATAATCAAACAAATAAAGTATTGAGTAGATTTTATAAGTAACTTAAAAGCAGAATATTGATTTGAGTAACTAATAATATATTTGTGTGATAAATTTCGAACAGCGTAAATTTACAGATTTTTATCAAACGATCTTTAAATACATGGAACTCTGTGAAAGGATGATGTGAATAATAACAATAATTCACAAGCATTGTAAGCAAAGATGGATAGTGGCTAGCAGTGGAATATAGGACGCGCGTTTCATCCTATTTGGGACTCGTCAGCTGTATGTGCTTGCATCTCAGAGTTGATGTTCACTTTGGGACTCGAACTCAGTACCTTCAGGAATCAGTGGCCGAGTGGATAACGTGATGGCGTTTGAAGCTAAAGGTACTGGATTCGAGTCCCAGAGTGAACATCAACTCTGAGATGCAGGCACATCCAGCTGACAAGTTCCAAATAGGACGAAACGCACGTCCTGGATTCTACTGCTAGCCACTATCTATCTTTGCTTACAATGCTTGTGAATTAAGGCTATATTGAAGCAATACGCACAGTAAACACATATGCTAATTAGAGACTGACCAGTTGCAGTCCTAAGCATCAATGGGAAGATTCAAACAAACAATACTAAATGAATTTAAATAACAATGATTATTGTGTATCTTCATCAAGATGTATTCAGAAATAATCATATCAATTTAATGAGATTTCAGTATAAATGAAGTAAAGTATTTAAAATGCTTCACTGAACAATGATTGTTAGAACAATCATTTAAAATAGGTCCCTTCTCTGAATTTCATGCTTTTTAATGTTTCTATGCATTGTAAGATGAAAAAACAAATCATATCAAATATAATATCACATAAGTATAGGTGATTTGTGTAAATATTTGAGGAAAACAATACAGTTGAGAAAAGGTAATAGGTATCTTATCACTCTGAACATTATCATGCATTAATGATCACAGGGAACGACTCAAAGTGAGTATAAATTCTTTCTATAAACATAATGAAAGTATGAGTTTTCTCATATCTTGAACGTTTCATTGTTAAGTTTTCAAAACTGTTTTTAAAGAAATTCTTTGGTCTTTTCACGTGAAATCTACCACTGTCCAGGAACGTGGTTCTATTCTCTTTCTATCCGTCTGAGAATACGACTGCATTTAATTCTGAAACTAACAAGGGATGTGTTTCACCACCCACGATAACATGGTTCCGCTACTCTTCCTTATGTTTGTCCTTACCCGTGATTTGATAGGTTAACGTGATGGGATGTGACGTAATCAACTATGAAATGTCGAGACCTTTATGATAAATACAGGTTTATTCTTATTAATGAGGTTCATTTTGGAAGTATAGTTTATCTCGTTCACGGCTGTGACTTGCGTACTGATGATCCAATGTGACGTCATTTTGTATTTACAAAGCTTATTCAAGAACCAATTCATCACAAAATTCGTATCTCAAATAACTGATATATCGTACGTTTATATCCTAAATACGTTCAAATTTCTGATGAGCACACTCGTTTATGACTAAAAATCATCAGCGAAAAGTACTTTCAAGGGGCTGCCCGTAGCAACACCGTCGGCCTGTTACAAATGTCAATATTGAAATGGGAAGTCAACTTTTACAGTACATAATAAAACTATCAATTTCAGTAGAGTTGGGCTAGTGTGGAAAAGCAAAGATATGCATGATATACAGCAACATAAAATATCATACATAGTCTTTACTTTAACCTCAGTTTTTTCAAGATCACTAATTTCAAATATTTTTTGGAGAAAACTCACATTCATCAAAGACTGAACTTCGAAGTTTCATTATTCATTTCACTAGCTGTTGTATACTTGCAAGACATATAATTGATACCAACCCTAGCGAAATTGTACATTTGTAATTACTAAGTAATCTGTACCAGTTTAGGACTTCAATATAAGGGTATGGAAATCCTCAGATTAACGACTAGAAATGTTGCTATGAAACGGATAGAAATCTCGAATTCAAAAGATCAATGTTATTTGGGTAACCCTAAATCTATTTCAATGATTTAGGGTGTGACAAATTAATACCTCTCGTAGTTTTGATTCGTCTGAGCTTTCATTCATTTGATCTTATCTAGTTTACATGTAGAATTGTGTTAACTAGGATATCAGTGATTAATCCATTTCTGCAGTTTAACTTTATCTCATCAACACACTTTCAACATTCATACTGCATAAAGTTTCACGCATATTAGTATGTGAAAATTGATTGTTTATTGGAATATTTATTTATATGATGTTTTCGAAGTAAATTTGTTATAGATTACATCTACTGAAAGTTTGTTCGTTGAAAATCAATTTGGTGCATGGAAAACCATTGATAACTGTTCTCTTCGCTAACAGTGTTTCAACCAATTACTGAATAGAAAAACTTTTTCAACAGTAAATACAAGTTTTCTATTCACTTACATTTCCAATTATTTAAAAATCAATATGAACTTAATTTCCATTTATGCAAAATTATTTGTAGCGCACTTGGTATCTATCCACCGGAGAAGTATATGTTTATGGCTCTAATGTCAATTTATGGAATAATGGGTAAGTTGAACTGTTTTCTGTCATCAATATTTTATATTCTCAATTAAATTTTTGAAACAGAATACTCATCAATATATAATGAATTTGAGTTTCCCGTGTTCTAAATTGCAATATAATGATAATTTAAATGTTACTTATGGTATGTGAGAACTCGACCTGATCTGAGATCTACTCTTAAATTACTTTGAATGTGATGATGCATACAATAGTGATGATTCTCATAGGTGTATTTAAGTGCCAATTATTAAAACACTTTATGAGGTCTGTGCATACGATTTTGAATAAAAGCATAATCGACGGTAATTACACTGGATCACTACTGTGTTTAAGAAATGTTTCACGACATATTTATGAGTACATTGCTTCGTTTTTCTGCAATATCCATACAGTCTGTATTCGATTTTGTCAGTCCTACCTATATTCCTGACTCCCTGCATACGTACGTATAAACATGCATACTACATACATACGCATGTATATCCGTACATACACACATACAACAAAGATAATTTTTAAATGTAATAGTACTTGCATTGGTTCTTATTATATTTATATTTAAGTGCACATTTGTGGTGTACACATGAAACCTTAATCAAACGATTGTTAGAAGATACTTCCAAGTGAGTATTTTATCTACTAGATCAACGCTGTGTTAGACAACTATTTCGCTCCTTAACGAGATATCTGTGGCAAGAATTCTCGTTTTTCTGAGCACTCCATGAAGATAGTATTGACTAATATTATTACCACATACATGCGTATTAGGTTCGTGCAATTATGAATTTCGAATTTTCATCAAGTTAGTGGCTATCTAGATTTAGCAGCTTAGTAGATGACGTTTTAGGTGTTCGAAAAGAAAGGTGTTTGATTGCAGTCCTAATGGCAACAGTAAATACAAGTAAATACAATGTAGGTGCACCCAGCCATCAAATTCTGAAAAGGAGGAAACCTACACCCCGGCTTACTCTGCTAGGCACAATATATCTTTTATGCAAATTGAAGTAAAAATATCATAAATTTCTTATATCGACATATTAATAGATGGTTCACTTTTAGATAAGAAATATTCCGTTTATATTCACAACTAATAAACTTCTTAAATCTATGCTACATTGACGGTAAATTTAGGGGAGTGGTGGGAACATGAGTGCTTTTTATTTACGATGACCATACCCTCATCAATAAAAATACAGTATTCCTTCTAGGGTTATCAAAATCAAGTGTCATTCTATATTATTATGAGCCAGGATATCTTATTTGTTCATACAGCTCGTGTACAACGTGCTTGTACAAAAAACTCTTCGGTTTCCCTCATTGCTTTATCTAATATTGTCACCTACATACGCTCTTCCGTTCCTTTCTTTTCGTATTGTACATTTAGCAATGTATGATCGATTTAAAAGAATATCGTTCCTGCGCATTTGAAATCGTACTACAAGACAAATTTTCTAGCTTTCGATTTATGAAACACATCAAGTCATATAAAAATCTCCCATAAACTACCGTGAAATTTTCATGGTCTTACAAATGTTGGCATACCATTAATCTTAGTTGGATCGAATTGATTATTGTCTATAGCCATACGTTTGCCTTCTGATAGGATAAGGCTGGATGAACGCTGAAGTGTAAGGATATACCCTATTATTTGTTAGTCATGTTGACACATCTTTTCAGTAACATAATTTTTTAAGACTCTAGAGCCTTTGTTAGAAGACCAGCGAATTATATGGAGTGGTTGTAGTGGGTAGTTTTAACATCCAAGTAATTAGTCTAAACAAATGAAAGGTTTGGCGGTCTGTATCAACCAGTCTGTTTCAACTACGTCAAACAAGCGTTTATTCATAGTAAACAGTAACTTGAACTTAAATAGATAGAATAACTATTGTACAGATTATAAGTTTTGCTGATTGAACCCAAATCCACATTCTCATAGCTCGAACAACATTTTGAACTTGACATCTATTTGTCTTGTGCAGATACCAGACAAGATTCTGATTTTATTGTGTTATCAGGACAAGTTATCTAAATTAGACTTCGAATGATGGTTGATAGCTTTATTCATTCGATACAAACAATAAACGTCTATTTCCGTTGTGTTTCAGCTACTGTGAGTCAATGGATTTGGTGTTGGAAAGCTGGCCTTCAAATAACAAAAATAAGAAGATCAATAATTCTTCATTTTATACTTGTAATTGTTTTCATTTTTATGACGATAGCTGGGATGAGCATAATTGGACTTTCTTTTGTTAACGTATGTTTATTAGCCTTTTTATTTATAAGTATTGCAATCAATCTGATTTACTAATGGTATATTTTAAAAACAATCTGATATCGGAGAACAGAGTTTAAATACTCATTTCAAAGTGAATGTATAAGAGTTAATAAATTGTCAAAACTAAGTGAATCTAACCTTTTATGTATTTTAAATTACTCTTTTCCCAGTCTCATTTTCATACTTTTTAGTAGAACAGATACAGAGAGTAGTTTAGGGATAGTACTGAACTGAATAAAAATAACAGAAAAAGTACCTTATCACTTAATAATAAATAAAGCTTATTTCAACTGACATGATTCAGTATTAATGGGCTAGTGTTCGTATCATTTAGTTGAAGAAACTGTATAGCTTACTTTCGTGTTCTCACTTGAAAACTGTGTTATTTCGGTTAGACCAAATGCCAATCTGAATGATGTTTTCAGTAAATGATGTTTGATAGACTGATTGAATATGAAGGCTAGTTATGTGGAAAAAGAGAACTTTGGTGTCATTCATCACTATTTCAATTTGATTTATTCAGACTGTTATTTTATTAGCTTAATTAATTAATTTTTTATAATTTAAATAGACAAAAGAGAACAACGCTGAACATTATCGTTTGACTTTAGTGAATTTCATTTGTCATGTTATTGCAATTCCTTGTGGAGCAGTTGTAATCGCCTGCCTTTCAAACAAATGGATGTTATTTTGTTTCGGAAGACTATTTGTTGTTATTCAAATGGTACTGGGATCTGCTTCATGTGAGTTTTCTCAAAACACAAAGAATTTTTACTAAAGATTACACAACTTTTTTTAAAATTTAAGTCTATTCCATATATAGTTTAACATGATAAATATTGAGAATCAAACTTAGAAAATCGTGGACATATTTTGAATATTCTATTTGTCATTATAAAATTAATAAATCTGCATGCAATACTTCTCAGTATCATCTGGAACTCAAAACAATTGTCAACCAACACCAAGATCAGAATTTTTAATACAAATGTCAAGACAGTTCTACTATACGGGGCGGAGACGTGGAGAACTACGAAAGCCATTATCCAGAAGTGTTATAACGTATGGGTTTGTGTTATATATGAATGTGCAATTAGTAGAGGAGTGGATTTTACTGATCAGACGCAAATGATGATTGAAATCGTACGAACTGTCTTGGGTGCTGTTCGGTCCTTCCTATATGCCTAGCCCAGCCAGTTGAGTCCAGAACACAAATAACAGCCTCGGCAATATGATTCATTATTTACAAACATACTGGGTTTTTATACAAACCAAAGTAATCAGTAAACTGATTATAACTCAAGAATCGTATGATAATAAATCAAAGATCAAAATAAAGCTCATGATAAGAGAAATACGAATATGAATAGTTTAGTTACGTAACAATTGTACAATAGGAAATAGGCATAATACATTGATCCATAAATAGACCTAAAGTTACCATTCGTAATTCACCGGGGGATATAACACCTCCCCTTTTTGAGAAAACCGGAGTTGATATCCGGATTATAAATTTCTCGAATTCATCCTCCCCAACGAAAGACTGTTGGATTCTCATGTACCCAAGTTACCATTATTGTGACATTATTTAAAACATATTCGTCGTATTTAACAGAGAATCCACCAGAACTGATTAGATCGTGAGAATCGACGACATTCGATTTGAGGTCACCAGCGTCTGATTCTTCTGAAACAGTTTCCTTGAATTTACTCGGAACCTCATTAGTAGATAATGAATCATTAGAATAATCAGTATCTATGAAAGTTGTATTGGATTCTTGATTATCATCTAATGCATCTGACGTTTTTCTCTCATTTTTATATGAGAGTTCAACAGAAACATATGAGTCATCAAAATAATCTAAATCTGGCAGAACAATTACAGAATTTTGATCATTAGACTCATTAGAAACATTTTTCGTATCATGATTAGTTTCATTTGGCGCCACTGTATTCATTATACTGCTCGATTTGTTTCCTGTTTCTTCGTGGGCGGGTACTGTAGCAATTTCATGAACATTTAGCAAGACATTGTCATTCTGTAAACAGGTTGATCCACTGTTTGCACGTCCGTTTTCGGGGTTAATAGGATTTGGACCGTGTATAGGGCATGTCTCTGAAACAGACAGTACCGGACTACTGGGCTGATCATGTAGGACTGCTACTGCTGCATTTAAATTACTGTTTTTCGCGGATTCATTGAGGCTTTCCTTTGCATATTCATTTGTTCTGCAATCGACTTCCAGTTCTGTACGCAATTTAGAAATCAATGCGTCAACTTCCGTTGCACCCCCAAAGCATGGGTGATTCAACAGCTTCGCGTGTAACTTGTCAATGAAATCCAACTGACTCTTTTTAAAACGCTGCTCTTGTCTCTGGATTAGCAACTGAAATTGATCGGAAGTTAAAGTCATTTTTTTACCCCGTCGCCAGTTGTTATAACGTATGGGTTTGTGTTATATATGAATGTGCAATTAGTAGAGGAGTGGATTTTACTGATCAGACGCAAATGATGATTGAAATCGTACGAACTGTCTTGGGTGCTGTTCGGTCCTTCCTATATGCCTAGCCCAGCCAGTTGAGTCCAGAACACAAATAACAGCCTCGGCAATATGATTCATTATTTACAAACATACTGGGTTTTTATACAAACCAAAGTAATCAGTAAACTGATTATAACTCAAGAATCGTGTGATCATAAATCAAAGATCAAAATAAAGCTCATGATAAGAGAAATACGAATATGAATAATTTAGTTACGTAACAATTGTACAATAGGAAATAGGCATAATACATTGATCCATAAATAGACCTAAAGTTACCATTCGTAATTCACCGGGGGATATAACAAGAAGATACAAGTGTTTATTAATAGTTGTCTGCTCAAGATACTTCGGATCCGATGGCCGGACACTATCAGCAACAAGCTACTATGGAAGACAACAAACCAGGTTCCAGAGGAGGAAGAAATCAGGAAGAAGCGCTGGAAGTGGATTGGGCAAACTTTGAGGAAATCAGCTAATTGCGTCACAAGACAAGTACTCACATGGAATCCTGAATGTCAAAGGAGAAGAGGAAGACCAAAGAACACATTACGCCGAGAAATAGAGACAGACATGAGAAGAATGAACGAAAACTGGATAGAACTAGAAAAGTAATGCCTAGGAAAGAGTGGGTTGAAGAATACTGGTCGTCGATCTATGCTCCATTGGGAGTAACAGGAGTAAGTTAGTAAGTAGTAAGTACTTCCCAGTACATTATAACCAAGAAATATAAACAAAGACTTTGCTTTTAAATAAACCTTTAATAACTTAATTATCGAAAAAACCAACCAAATATACATTCAAAGATTTCCCAATACATGAAATATGAATTGGTTCATAGTTGACAAAAACAGATAAAATACACAATACTAGTCATAAGTTTTTGATGGAGTTTTGTTTTCTAACTTGGATGGTATAGTCGTGGAGCTTTCATCGTTCTTTTGAACGACATCATAAGCACAAACTTCAAGTAGAAATTATAAGATAAGTATATGTGTAAATATCTTAAAAATGATTCTAATATTTAAGAAAGGATAGATTATTATACAAAGTGCTGTTTCAACAATGAGATTGACCCTTAAACTTTATTATTTTAGGACAACATGATCATTTTTATTACTTGTTGTTTAAATTTTGATTTACTATAATACAGCAATCAGAATTAATAATTTCAACATATTTGAGTAGAGTTAATTTACTTAGATGAGTATAAATATTCAATGTGAATCTGTTTGCACTATTGATAGTTTGATTAAGTGTTTTTATTTACCGAACAGACTATGATTTTTTTAAGAGATAATATTACTAAAGTGATATTTCCAAACAGCTTTTATGAATCCATAGTTAAGAAAAACATAATATAGATAATATACTACTAACTCAAAAAAAAACAGTGTTCAAAATAGCTGTATAATATAGTAAGTGCTTAAAATAGACAAAGGATCAATGATCAAAAAACTTGACAAACTGTGGATGTTCATTCAATGTGTTTATTTGGACCTTTGGTCCCAGTATTTCATTAATTCATCTTATTTAGATATTTTCATAGTTCAGAGAATGAGTCAATTGAAGCCAGACCACCAAGGAAAACCTGGAAGCACTGAACATCCGTTTCGTCCTATTATGGGACTCCTCAGCAGTACGCATCCACGATCCCTCCTCGCAAGATTCGGACCCAGGACCTACCAGTCTGCTGCCAGAGCACTTAACCGATAGACCATTGAGCCGGCATCCAACGGTGTTAGTGTCTAACCTCAACCAATCCACGAATTTTGAGCAACCATTCACCAATTTTCTTCAGTGAGTTGTTATCTCACAACAGACGTGGTTGAACTCTATTGGTCACTACTTTTCGCTAGAACTTCAGGAAGCACCTCTTGAAGTCAGTCACTAGTGAACTTTAATTGACCCATGCTTTCAACTACGAAAATACTGAAATCTCCACAAAACCCCTTCTTATTTAAATATGTTTATAACTAAGAATGTTTGCCGACCAGTTATCGTATATACTACACAGATCTTGTACGATAGGAACAACTAAATTCTAGTTTGAAAATCTCATCGTTTATATGGTTTTCTGTTCACGAGAGCTATCTTGGGCAATGTAACAACACATGGTTAAAGTTTCTATGTGCTTTTTATGAGGAATCACAATGAAAATAGCTTTAAATCATTCGATTATTTGAATCTTGCATAGGTTACAAAAGGCAACAATTTAGTTTCATGTATTAGTGTTAACGGTCATAAAGTGTAAATCCATGTTACCACTAATATACTAAGTTCATCTTCACGATTCCCGGACGAAACTGTAAATATTAAACCATTTTGCGTGAGTGATTTTATATTCCACAAGCATCGATAATATTTATATTGACAAGTAAGGTTATACGCATGTATGAAGAAACGTTTTTCTTTATTAAGTTATTCAGCTGATGAAATGCATCTGATTATAAATGTGTCATTATTTTTATTTAAAATATGTTAATTTATATTTTTTTTCATTTTTCAGTTGTACATTTTAACATGATTGGACTTAAAGTTTTAAAAGCGAAAGATTTCTTCTACATCAAACCTTATGAATCGGTAAGGGATATTCGAGCAGAAACTTTGTTTGTTATAATTGATAAATTAGTCAGACAAAGTCTGTAGGATAGTAATATTACTGAAGGCTCCGTCCCACAATTAGTTTTTACTTATGAACATAAAAAATTAAAGTGCCTTAAGTATTTTTTAAATATCAAAATTGTCATCTCAAGCTTCCCCAGTTAACTGTAACCATCATGTTTTTCTGATATAAAGGGAATGTACTTCAGAGAGCAGACTATTGGAAAAAGAAATTAACAATCGAAAATTCAATCAAATCAGACCGACAAAACTTGCTATACAGTTCGTGAGAAATTACTGAACTCCAAAATGCTAGTGAGATTTGTGTCTTAAATGAATGATATTGGCGCTATTGAGTTATATAGAATGGAAGATGTAACTGATTAGCTACCATTGTCGTTCAAGACAAGTTCCTTAGCTTGTACTTAATGTTGAAGTGAGATTCTTAGTTATTCTACAAGAGTTAATTTAGTTTATTCTGATAGTCTTCTTGGTGAATACTCATCTCGTTAGGTTACGTTGTCTTCTTTTGTCAATGTATTTACTTTGTCAGCCTAATTGAATGACCTTTAAGCAATTATTTGATCTAATATTTGTATCCCACACGCGGGATCGCAGATGAGCACTACCAAGGAGTCCTACACTACGAGGAAACAGCCGTTTAATTCCTCTAGGTTTTCAATGATAGTCTCGCTTAGATCGACTCGTGAATTCAACTGTGAAAATTTTTGTACAAGTTGATTGACCACGTCTATCTCAATGTATCTTGTAGATTGACGATTGACCTGAATGTCGTGTTTATAGAAACTCGCAGGTAATATTGAAAATCCATGGATTCAGTATTTCAACAGAATTCATTCATGCAGTTGTCTATGTAAAATGATATCAATGGTAATATATCATGAACTCGCAGCAATAGTATGTGTCCATATATCTGTAAGCGGGCGATTTCCATATAGTCTAATGTAGAGATTATCGAAGGTGGTAGAATTTAGTGTGTGAACTATGTGGCATTTATTTTCTTTCACTGTTTCTGTCGTCTAGAATGAAGGTGAAAACTCCACAATGATCTCACGTAAACAAGGGAATTCAATAACTTTGATATAACACTATTCCAACAATAAAAAAGTGACTGTGGTCTAAATATTTTACTTTGTCAAAGCCGGAAGTTATGGGCTAAATGATAAGCTGAAATTTGAAATTTGGAAGTATATAACAATCATAGTTGTACTTAGACCAATCATGAAATAATATTTTTGTATTTATACAGGGTTATATTGAATTCGTATGGAGTGCAGTAAGCGAGTGGTGCGTTGTTATGGGTTGTGCAGAATTAACATTTATCATAGCTTTGGAACTCTATGATTTTGAAAAATCGGTTGTCAATTTAGAAGGAAGTCGATATCTAAATGTGTAATCGGTTAAAAAAACCAAAGTTATGAAGAATTTATTTTGAGAGATCTGTTGATGAAAGTTTTATCAAGATCCAGAATTTCTGGTTAAAGATATTGCACATAACTGACCATTTAAAACCTCTTAGCTGAAATATGTAAAGCTCATAAAAGTTAGAAATTGTGTTAGGGAATTCAAACATTCATTTTGGTTTTATCAACACTATTTATCAAATGTTTTCTATGGAAATATTAATTGTATATTGTGTCAACTATGAACTTGTAGTTATCAAAATGTTTTGATGACAATAACTTGTACAGTATTGGGGGATTATTTAAGTATCAAATAAAATAAATATTTCCAATAAATGATGTTTGAATCTCAATACTTCATGCAATATTCCATAGTGTTGGATCGCTTGATGATATTGATCATGTATCGTTATTATCTTGTGGCCGAGTGGATGCCTAGTTAATGTATGACTTGATAAGATCGCCAATCAGAGAGCAACGAATTATCGATTGGAACAGTGACACGAATACCGTACGAGCAGACTAGAGTGCTAACGGGTCCTGCGATCTGCCTAGCCCAGCCAGTTAAGTCCAGAACACCAATAACAGCCTCTGTGGTATGAATCATTAGTCACAAACATTCTGGGTTTATATACCAACCAAACAGACCACATCGACCCATAAAATAGAAAATAACATTTGTACAATATTTAGCCGAATGTGGCTGTGAATAGTAATTAATAAACTGATGATAACTCAAGAATCGTATAATAATAGTTCAAAGGTCAAAATAAAGCTAATGATAAGAGGGAAAGAATATGATTAGGTTAATTACAATAGGAAATATACATATTACATTGGCCAATAAATAGTCCTCAAAAGTTACCATTCACAATTTTCTTCGGGATACAACAGTTTTATCAGTGTGGTGCTTTTGTGAATATAATGGAAAGCAATCAAAAATATACTTCGTGAATGGCTATATTAATATTACTTTATTTATTTAATGAATTTGATAGTAGCTAGGTGGTTACATGAAAATCAATATTATTCTCATCATTCTAGATTTATATAAATCAGACATAAATTTACTAGTTTTATAAATGACAAAGGGATTTTTACATTTTGCCATAAGATCAAACTGATCAAGTGATATTTCATATGTGCTTAAAAATTATGTATAGAAAATACAAATTATAAAGATCGTTTTTATTTTCAGTGGAATAATGTTTTAAAATTCTAAGACAATTGGTCACTTTTATGAAGTTAATTAGAATAGGAACAATAAATCGGACGGATTTATATGAATTCATAATGTTTGTGGTCTCTCTCTCTATAGTTAGTAGTATAGTATGTACTACTGATATCGACAGAAATAAGTAGTATGTATCATTAATCGAAAGTAAAGCTTAAGGAGATCAAAGATAAAGGAAAGAGAACAGATAATGATTGATGTGGAGACGAAAGAACAATGAAGTCTGAGACGATTGATTGCTATTTTGTAAATGAAGTATTTACTGTATGGTTCTCAGATTTTACTAAGACATTCTGTAAGTTTGTATTCAAATATATTCGATTGTTCCTACTCGTGTTCTTGTTCACTACAGTACCAGTTAATAAATTTCGAAGTTGATTTCAACTCCGTAAGTAGATAACTTTGTGAAAATCATGAAAACGTGTTTGTAAATGTAGATACTTATAATGACTAATTTTATTCCTATACAGTTATTACTGAGTTCTTTGATATGTTTTGAAGCATTATCAACTTAAAAGTTCGGTAGGGAAAGGTATTTTGAAGAAGATAAATATCAAGAGGCCTAAATGAATATCAATAATAATTGTAAGGCTGTTACGTGACTAACAGATTAACAAAGCAAAATAAATCTGTTATTTACTAAACAAAATCGTCCATCTCTTTGGAGAATAATAGTCGTCCACCTTGTTACATTAAAATTCTCATCTTGTATTTAAACAACTTTATCTACATTAATTGGTGATTCGAATCCATATACTGGTTCACATTATCATTTATCTTCAGTAATTATCGTCAATATGATCAAATGAATTATAATTTTCATTCATGTTTGACACTATTTTCAGTATGAAACGACAATAGTTAAGTATAGGATAGAAATTATGACATTAAAGAGTGCATTCCGTGGAACTTTTCAAACAGAAACTGGCTCTAAAGTTGATAAACTTGTCAATGAATAAACGAAATACTCAAAGTCGCTTTTGTTAGTTCCTCAAGTAATTATAAGGATAATATGTACGTATAATTTAAATAAATGATTTTTTTAATAAGTATGAATTGTTTTAACACTCTAGAGGATGTTCTACGTGGATTTCTATGTTATACACCAAGCTGAACCAAAGTCTAACATACATCTCATTTCTCGTATTAGTTTATCTTTGGAAAAAGATCTAACGAAAACAAAGTGAAGTTCAACCTTAGATGATTCAAACGTTCGCTGACACTGAAATTATGTAAACGTAGCTTTTAAATTAATACATTGAAAGTATTGAATTTACACAAATAAAACTAACATATATATTCATTATTGGACTGTATTGACGATCTTCATCTCGAAAACCGATAAATCCATCACCTTACGGTTCCAAGTGCTTGACTTATTTTGTAATAAGGTGGGACATAGAATACTGCAAAAATGACTGAGTTTCAACACATAAACTGAAATTACATACAACTAAAGCTTTATCACAGATTCGAAATGGTTGAGAAGCACTGAATCCATATCATTAATGGTAATTCATTGTTAATATTATTATATACCATTCTTACACGAAATAATATCTGTTACTTCCTTTAAAATGAATCATTTTACTTCAGTTTTGCACTTAATAAACATAGAGTAAATTATATTCGGACAGTCACATGAATCTTAGAAGAACTACTTTAATAATGGAGATTTCTTATTTTATGAATTCGTTAATAAGGAGGATATCATACAAATGAAATAAGTTTAATCGCTGAAAAATTCCCATCATATTAAAACACAATTATATGAACGAAGAATATTCTTTTCAATAATTTCTCATCAGGTTCTACAATTATAAATTAATAATCCACAAAAGAAAATTGGCCAAGTTTAAGGCAGAGTACATCATTTAAGAAACTGTAACATGTGAATCAAGGAGTGTTTTGTCATATAAAATAAAATCGAATCGTTAATGTTGGGATGGCTAATATTTAGTGTTAACTACAGCTATATTTTAGCTCATTTAGTTCAGACGTGACATAGAGCCAACATCGACCAATCTTTCACAATGATATATCGTGTTAACAGTAGTCTACCTAATTCCGTCAGACTGAGAATCCTGAAGACGGCTGAGGCAATTGCTATTCGGATCAAAAAGCCAGAGCTTTACATTCAAAAGAAATATGTACAGCCACTCCTTTTACCCTGGCCAACTTCCGGGTCAACTTGTTAATAATCAATTTTATAATATGGGGACATTAATTTGATTATTGTTCATTTTTATATCTTAAACTTATTTTATCTACACATCTTACCATTGCCATTATTGTTATTATTACATTTGCTAACCTTTTAGAGAAATTTATTCAGAATCCAGCCCTATCTAATATATCTGACTTAATTTATATTATTCTACATATTACGTAATGTCTGATTTGTAATCCCATTGTTCTATCTCACCCCCATGTCAATTATATATATTCTGATCATTTATCTTATGATTTTATTTCACTTATAAACTGATTCAAGTTAACACATCATATTAGTCATCCCAAAAACATTAACGATTCGATCTTATTTTATTTTATATGACAAACAATCCTTGATTCACATATTACAGTTTCTTAAATGATGTACTCCGCCTTAAACTTGGCCAATCTTCTTTTATGGATTATTAATTTATAATTGTAGAACCTGATGAGAAATTATTGAAAAGAATATTCTTCGTTCATATAATTGTGTTTTAAAATAAGTTTAGATCGAAGATTCATTAATGTAGCATACGATCATTAGAGAAGAGGGTCCTCGAATATTGGGGAAAACTGCCTAAAGAAGAATTTCATTGTTTTCAAGTATCTGACCGTCTGTTTAAAATAAGGAGAGATTTTAGTGCCAGATTACTAAAAATCTAATAGTAGATTTGGAGATAATAAGAGACCCAATTTACATTTTAAGATGAGCTATGTCGACAAAAAGAAGACATCCAATTACTTACCCACTTACACACTTGATTATTTTCTTAAGCCTGTTAACCACAGTCGTGGAGTAGAAAAAGCGCTGATCATGATTCCCTGACCAAATCCATCCTGGGCTCTCCTTTCCAGTTGTCTCCAAATTCATATCAAACTCCAATTCCCGAATCAGTGTATTATTTGATCTTCCACGTTGCCGTCTACCTTCATGATTCCAAGTTAGAGCTCGTCTCGTGATGTAGTCTGATGGTTTCTACAATATATATATATATATATATATATATATATATATATATATATATATATATATATATATATATATCCTATCCACTTCCAATGTCTTTCACTAATTTCCTCCTCAACTGGAAGTTGGTTTGTCGTCTTCCATAGTACACTGTTATTGATGGTATCTGACAAACAGATATTGAGTATGTTGTGTAGACAATTGTTTATAAATACTTATAAATGTTTGATGATGGTTGTGGTAGTTCTTGAAATTTCAGCGCAGTACAGTAGAACTGTTTTGACTTTCGTATTGCAGATTGTGAGTTGGATGTTGACTTTCAAACAGTTGTTTTGAGTTCAACGTTTCTACAATTGTAGTGATACGTCCTTTGGCATTTGGTGTCTCCATAATTTAGTCGATCACCAGGAGAAAGAATTTTTAGCCTTGTCTGACACTATCCTACACGTGGAATTCGTCTGTCAACCGAACTCCATGCACGACTTTGAAATGTAGTCCAGATGACGTCTCGGATTAATCAGTGTGGAAGAAGTTTCCATGAGATCCTCCTATCCTCACTGTCAAACACTTTTTCGCGGTCAGTGAAATTGATGTATTGTGGCGAACTACATTCAATTGATAGTACAACTATTATCCATAGTGCCTCGGTTTCGTCTGTGCACGACCGATCCACACGGAATGCGGCCTGTTGGTCTGGAAGCTGATCGTCTACTGAATCCTTGATCCGGTTGAAAACGATTCCTTGTACCGATAGTAGTAGCAGTTCTCACATTTTCTCAGATCTACATTCTTTGGTATCTTGATGAGACATCTTTCATTTCAGTCTGTCTGTTGGCACTTGTTCGTCCATCCAAATCTTACTGAATGGATTGAGGAGCATTTTTCAGTTACTTCTATGTCTGACTTCAGTACTTCGGCTGGTATTTTGTCTTGTTCAAGTGCTGCATTCTCCCTGTTGATTCGTCTGACGATCGGTCATCCTGATTTCTTCGATCATTGGCAGAGTGGTATTTATAGGAGGGTTTGTGTGTGCTGCTTTGATGTTGGGTGGGTTGAGTGGAACTGGTCTATTCAAGAGTTCCTCAATGTGTTTTGCCCATTCATTCCTCTGTTCTATAATCTCAGTGATTGGTTTGCCTTGTCTGTCCCTGACCGCTCTCTGCTTCACTATTTTTTCCCACCAGTTTCTTCGTCGTGTCATACAGTTGTTTGATATTTACTTTTGTTTCGCCTTTTTCCACCTCTTCCTGCTTATCGGTTTTAATACTCCTTCTCACTTGCTCGTTCGCTCAAGTGTATTCAGCTTGTATCCTAATTTTCTCTTTTCTCGATCGACTGTTGTTAACTGCCGTCTTCTTGTTCTCCCTTTCTTGGATCTTTTCCAGGGTTTCCATAGAGATTCGTTTCTTTTATCACCTTCTAACTGTCCTTTGTAATAATTTTTTCTTCCTTCAGTACATCATGTAAGGTCTGGAACGTGTTGTTGGGAGATATCTTGAGTTCGTTGAGTTTGCTAGTATCTCGAACGAAGGCTGTATCGAACCTTTGTTATGTTGCTTCTCTGGTTGTCTGATGATTATTTAGCTTTAGTTTCATCTTGGCAAGCACCCGTAGCTGGTGATCTGAAGCTATACCAGTTCCTCTCCTGATTCTCATGTCTCCCATCGACCCTCTGAATTTTTGAATGATGCAAATATGATCGATGTAGTTCTGTATAATGTGTTCCAGTGAGAACCATGTAAATTTGTGTGGAATGTAGTGCGGCCTACAAACATTTTGCTGGATACACACAAATTTGGAAATTTCTCACCATTATCGTTCGTTTCTCCCAGTCAGTCCATGTCGTCCCATGACATCTTCTTATCCGGTGTTGTCCATTTTAACTGTGACCTTTAAGTATTCCATCAGGATGATCAGGTCCTCTTCATAGTCGTAGCTATTCGATAAGTCCTCCATGTCTTCTACATTGTTCGAGCATTCTATGTATTTATATTAATTGTCGATGTGGTTGTTAGGATGGATATCATCAAATATGACTTCAGAACAATCTCGAGTATCACTATGAGTTGTAATAATTCTTCTTAATGAACATCCATCAACTCAAAAAGACAGAGTTTAAGTGGTTTGCATTGTTTATTCTGGTTAGAGGATTTTTTGTTTTTTTCTGCTAAATAGAATTGCTGGTGTATGCATAAACCTCCTCCGTCCTGTAAACGACAGTAACCTTAAAACGGCCGCAGTCAGAGTTCACTAAAAAAGTTACCTATTTATTTTTCAGGTCTTTTTATCAAAGTGATTTGTTTCTTCATATTCTATCATTCAAATGTCGTTTAGGCATACGTTATTTTTTAAATGCTGTCTAAAATTTTAAATTTCGGTCAATAATGAGTAGAAATTGTAGATAAATTCACTGGGAACAACATAACGAACTAACAAAATTTCCAAGGATAGTTTTTATTCTCCAATTGTGTACACGCATGCGACTGGTTAAATACTTGAATTTATTTCAATTTCAGATAATTACAAACAACGTATACTGCATTCTGACCATTCTCAAATAAAAGAGCAATCACTTGGGAAATCTTAGTAAGTATTTTGAATGGGTTATCGGCTATGATACGATCACAATATGAATGTTTTATACAACTTTATAATCATTCATCCAACATTCTGTCGACATTTAAACTGACAGAAACTCTGATGGATCATCTAGATTTTTGTAGTTTACGACTTCAAAACACTGCGTTACGTGGCAACGTGAGTGTGATATTATGGATTGAAGTAATTTCTCATTCTTTTCACTTAGTTTGTAAAGATTCGCTATGCAAGTAGTACTTGTAACCCTAGGTTATCACAACTTCATTGATGAAAGTCTTCTGAGGCAACCACATGACGAACATCTACATGTGGTTTTGTTGATATACACGTGAAGACATAGATCCTAGTAAAAGTACATACAGATAAGTATAATTTGGTTTGAAATATATTTAAAAAACCGAGACGTTATTCCTTATATTGTTATAACTTGTGGCCGAGTGGATGCCTTGTTAAAGTATAACGTGATAATACCGCCAATCAGAAAGCAGTGAATTATCGATCGGAACAGTGACACACGAAAACCGTATGAGCAGCTTAGAGTAATTGTCGGTCCTGCTTCCATCTAACCCAGCCAGTTAAGTCAGGAACACCAATAACAGCCTCTGAAATAGGAATCATTATTTTCAAAAATGCTGGGTTTGTATACCAATCAAACAGACCACATCGTACCATAAAATAAAAAATAACATTTGTACAAGATTTGTCCAAATGGGGCTGTGAATGGGGGGAACAGTAAATAATAGACTGGGTATAACTCAGGAATGGTAAATCGTACAGTACTGATTTATGGGTCAAAATAAAGCTCATAATAAAAGGAACATGGATATGAATAGCTACGTAACTTGACAATTATGCATAAGGAAATATACATATCAAATTAGTCCTTGAGTATTCCTCAAAGTTACCATTCATAATTCTCCACGAGATATAACATATATTCAGACGATTTTATTGATTTCTTCATACTGGTTTTCATAAGTTCGCAACTCTAAGCCAGTTATCAAAGTGATTTCTATTAATCCCAATATCACGAACCATTCGCTGATTGCACATTGATTAAATTCTTTGTAACCCTATAATTAAAAAAATCAGTGGTGTATGTTAAAAGCCTACAAGTACCTTAATACGGATCACTTTCAGCTAATCTCAGTAAAGTTTACATGGGTGTTATTTTAAATAAAAAGCGTTTCATGATAAAAAAGATCTCATAAGAATAATTGGGTTGATCGACTAAATCTTTACAATCACGCAACTGTTGTGTCACTTCGACAGCTCTCTCTGTAGATGTTACACGTTTAGAGTGAGTGGAGATTTTAACCCAAATATTTATCATTTTTGCAATACATAGTCACTTTCCCGAAAACTTTATTTCCTCACCAAATGCTCAGTTCACTTAAGAATGTTGCTGGATATATGAGTGAAGAAGCATGAAAAGCTTGGAGTTTCCCATAGTACCGAGCAATAATTAAAATCGGAATGAGGAGAAGAAATTAAAATGATAAGACTCAGCTTACATGAGCATGTATAAATCTACGAAAGCCTCAAAATTGACAACACCTTCACTTCATGCGACCCTGAAGGTAAACTGAATTGACTTGGTTTTCCAGTTTGTGTTTGGTATATTCAATATTCTTCCGTCTGAAATCGCTGACTTTTCATTATCGAAGAAGCGGTTGTCCACATTTAAAATATATTGTCATGTTACGAATTTGATCATCAAGCTAAGTGTTTACGGGAACTACGTAATTCGATTTATTCAGGTGAAGCATTCCTGTTACTTCACCAAGGCTGGCTTCTATTTACTGAATATTCGTGTTTACTACAGGATTTGGTTTCTTTGAACATTAATGTTTATTTCATGTAAAGTTACATGTGTGTTATTGAATAATTCGCTATAAATTCATGAATTTCATCTTGTCGAATGTTTGTACTACGATTTACAATATTGTGATTGTGTTCTTCAGTGTTTGATAAGAGTTTAACGGAAAACTTGAATAAACTGAATAAAATATCAACTCAGTTAATATACTGAATGTAAATAGTGATATTGGTGTTGTGTACTCACCGGTTCGTTTTCCTTGATGTAGAACAAATTTTTCGCCTGCAAAACTAGTAGACCAGCTCGATTAAAATAAACAACTACAGTACGGAAATACAAAGAGAGAAATTCAGACGCTAAATGATTTGACTTATTGTTATTAATAAAGTAATAATACTAAAGTCTCTCTGAAATAACATTTAATTTATACCGACCTATGGAATAATCTGTGTACTTCTAACATGAACAGGCATCTAGACCACATTCATATGTTGTTTGCTTAACGGTAAAGAAACTATAGAAGTAAAGAATACATAATACTGGTAAATGTTGTTAACAAAACTATTGCGTGAGGCAAATGAAGGGTAAAAGTCTTCATAAATTAAAACCACTTAAAATATATACTACTCTAGATTGGATTATTGATATTCATAAACATTGGTTGTTATTGTCATTTGAAATACACAAGTTTCGATAAATGTTGTGTAACTTACAAAAATAAGATCCGATGATCATTTGAAGAGAAACAACAATTCTAGCAAGTAGAAACCATTTCCATGAACGGAAATTACAAACGATAAGTAAGGAACTCAATGGAATAGCGACTGCATGGCAAATAAAATTACTCAACGTCAAATGGAAATGTAGTTGATTAGTATCTTTCATCTACAATACAATAATTATAATTTATTGGTTACTAGTAAGGCGAGATTATAAAATTAATACTGTTACATAAGAGGAAACAATTGCTGATTGCGAATCCTATTTTAGTTATAGTTTAATTCTCAACTGTCTATTCAATGAAAATACTTCGTGACTTTAACGTTCATCTGTGATCATGATATGTCTTGCTAATTGAACGCTATACTCCTATGATCCTAAATGTGACTTATCATTTTCGTGAAGATTCTGGCAAAATGTTTGGTGAACGCAGACTGGATAGAATTCTTCTTAATGTTTACTGAACCTTTCTTGTCCTTTGAGAGCAGTTCGCAGGATCACCCCAACAGTTCATGTTCTGTCTGAAGGTAGTAAATAATACTTAGACATAATACACATAAATTCTTGACAATATGAACTTAGGACAAGTTGGGAATTTTCTTCACTATGTAAAACATTAAAGCGTAAATCTCTTTTCACTAACTAATGACGAGACAAGATATCATCGCCATTCCATAAACTATGTCAGTAAATAACTATCATTATAATTTACAAACATGTCCAATTACATTATATAAGCATGTTACAGTCATTAAATTGATGTTCTGCAAAATATGGTAATCTCATAAATCAAGATGTACAAAATGAACCAAACAATGAAATGTTTTGAATGATTTCTGACCATCAATTTCAGTGGTTATAGTGTTGTTTTCCACAACTGGTCTGAAGTAGTTAAAGTTTTCTCCTACCTGGTGATTTGTTGCAGTGAAAAATCGAACTTGACAACTGAGACAAAAATGAGCACTGATGTGTAGTCAGTATACATGATTATAGTTCAAGGGAGAACGGTATGGTCAAACTCCACTAAACTTTTGACTACTAAGATTTATGTAACTGGTTTATTGGCTATTAATTTGCAAGTAACAAGGTCGATAACTGTTATGGCAAGTGATTCAACTAAGTCAATCGGTTCTTCAATAAATGTAAATAAACAACGTACAAGGTACGGATTGCTACCTCCGTTGTTGTACTTTCATTTATTCATACTCTTACGAACGAGTTTATGAGCTGAACGTACATTGAAGAAAGATAGTAGAACAATGCAAATTCCTGATATTGTATAAACCAATCCAATAAAGATGCAGATGTATTGAGGAATTTTAGACTGTGATTTCTGTTTGAGTTTTTTTCTCATCATGAAGCACCAAAACCACTGACTTATAATTGCTGAAATTTCACATGAAACGTTAGTGAGAAACAATCGAGAGGATAAAAAGTGAGTGCACTGAAACATAATGATCCAATAATGTGTCATCATCTTCATCGTAATTCATCCCACAATTTATTGATGGCTAGGGTTTCGGACCATTTTCAAAATAGTTAATAAACAAAACCTTGGGTCATCACCTATTTCTCATGCTAGTCTCGTATTACAATGGCTCATTTTCCAGAATTTATTGAATGTGAGGTATTTTCAGATTTGCCATCAGTGCAGTATTGGTGAGATAAATCGTTGATTACTGCTGCCATTATTTAGTGGCTATTTCTGTCTATTAAACACAAATCCCCTGGATTGATTCACGTTATTAAACGAAAATTGTATTTCGATAGAACAATGAGAAGACGTAGTTGATCTGAAAAATGTGATGTATTTGCGCTATACATTTCGAACAATCTGGTCACACATATACTTGTCAAGGCATTTTTATATGAAAATTAATAAAGGTCAAAGAAACAAATAAAAGTACAACTAAAATAACTAAGGGGGAGAAAGAATAAGAAATTGTCGCGTTATTCTAGGCCATAGAATGACTTAAGGATTACCAAGGTAAATTCAAGGTTACGACAAATTGTTTTTGTACACATAAGGGGGGTTTAAATTTACGAATAGCTAAGGCTTCAATAAACTTAAGAATTCGACCTTGACAATTTCTATACAACATTCTAAATGCTGTATTAATGTTAATTTTGTGCCCCGTCTCAATAATGTGTTTTGCTATCGATGAACATGGTTTTCTACCGCCTACATTGATCGGATCATTTGACACACACTGATTTTGAAGCCATCTGGGTACATGTTCATTGACCCTTGATTGCATTGTTCGATTACTCCTACCTATGTATGTGTGTCCACACAAACATGTAAATTGGTAAATACAATGGGATGTGACGTAATCATTAGTGCATTGTTTGGGTCTATTATGAATCATGGCCTTAGACTTTTCAATCACTACCAACTGAGCAGCATAATACGTATTCTCAATGGCTGCTTTCAATCTCTGCCTTAAAACTATACTGTTTGATTCGCCTCTATATGGTAGATTGATGTAAACCTTTTTCTTTGGCACTGAATAAATTAGAGGTCTTGGCATTAATTGACTTTTGCACCTATTAATAAACTTGAGTGGATAACCATTTGCTATTAACGTGTCAGTCAGTAACTTCTCCTCTTTTTCCACCATATCAGAGGTACATATTCTTCGAGTCCTCTTAGTTGTACTTTTATTTGTTTCTTTGACCTTTATTAATTTTCATATAAAAATGCCTTGACAAGTATATGTGTGACCAGATTGTTCGAAATGTATAGCGCAAATACATCACATTTTTCAGATCAACTACGTCTTCTCATTGTTCTATCGAAATTTATAAAAGGGACTAATTGCTTTAAATTCTTGAAAAGAAGACTCCCTTCGTCTTGCACTAAACGGTTAGATGAACTTGCTAATCTGAAGTGCAAAATTGCATCGGAAAAGGTAAAACTGGAGTTTTATAAAACTTGCATTAATTCACACATATTTCCAAGACATCTCTATAAATTCTTACGATCTAATAAGTTACAACCAAATGTGTCTAATCTTTTGCGTCTGGCGAAATCTCATAAAGAAAAATGTAATGATATGTTGAATAAACTAATTGAACTTCATACTCAGGCATCATGCGTATTATCTAATCTCTCTCTTCTATGTCGTATTAAATTTATGAATTTTTGCAGTACTGTGGTTGCTAAAACAAATCATACTACTAAACAAAAGCTGAGTAAAACTCTTGTGTATGATAATGATGGAAATTTATTTCAATTTAACCCGGATAAATATGTATCAAATTTATCAACTGTTAGGCTTTCTGTATTCGAGAAAGAAGCTCTATCACTCGGATTTAATTTCTCCGTTGCACATACCAAGATTTCTGATCTGTCGATAGATGCTCAATTTGAAAGTCTTTATGATCAGTTGAACCCTCTTGTCCCAACCACCCTGGATAGGAAAAATTGGTTAAAGGTGAAATTGGTTGACGTTGCCCACCACTTTCACGGATCTCAAGTCAGACAAAGAAGTATTTTGACTCCTAAACATTTCGCTGCGTTAAAAAACCTCCAATGTAGGTCAGATATTGTGATCCTCAGACCTGACAAAGGTTCTGGGGTGGTCGTTATCAATAAATGTGAATATAAAGACAAAATGTTATCTATACTGGGTGATCAAAGTAAATTCTTACAGGACGTTTCTTCTAATATTAATGTTAGAAAATTGGAATCCAGAGTGAAGTCCAATCTATTAAAGCTTCTTAAAATGAACGTCATAAACAACGAGGAGTTTAATATACTAAAACCCTCGGGTTCAGTTCTCCCGAATTTATATGGATTACCTAAAATTCATAAACCTAATATTCCATTACGACCAATTTTGTCTATGAGTGGTTCTCCCACACACGAGCTAGCTAAATGGTTAGTAAAACTGTTAAACCCAATTCGTGCTAATCTATGTAAGTTCTCTTTAAAAGATACATTTGAACTAATCGATTTTCTTGGTGACATTAATATTAAGGATAAATCTTTGCATTCATTTGATGTAAACTCCCTCTTCACGAATGTACCGTTAACAAAGACGGTGGATTTCCTTTGTGACTATATTTCAAAAAACTTTCCCCTTTTTCCTATTCCGTCACCATTTTTGAAAGATTTACTTTTATTATGTACAGCTAATGTTCAATTTACATTTGATGGTGAATATTTCCGACAAGTTGATGGTGTAGCTATGGGTAGCCCTTTAGGGCCTCTCTTAGCTGAGGTATTCATGTCATATGTGGAAAATATGACGAGTGACCTCATTGGTGAGACAACTCTATATAGAAGATATATGGACGATATTCTAATTATATGTGATAAGCATTTTGATGTTTACCGATTACTGGATAAACTCAATGGTGTTCAAAATGATATTGTGATGACACATGAACCAGAAAGTAACGGCCAATTAGCCTTTCTAGACATACTTTTAAGTCGAAGGGATGATGGCACTATTAGACGGTCCGTGTATAGGAAACCAACTTGGACGGGACAATACCTAAATTTCCATAGTTTCTGTCCATTGCAATACAAGAGAGGTCTAGTTAAGTGCCTCTTTAAGAGGACTCGAAGAATATGTACCTCTGATATGGTGGAAAAAGAGGAGAAGTTACTGACTGACACGTTAATAGCAAATGGTTATCCACTCAAGTTTATTAATAGGTGCAAAAGTCAATTAATGCCAAGACCTCTAATTTATTCAGTGCCAAAGAAAAAGGTTTACATCAATCTACCATATAGAGGCGAATCAAACAGTATAGTTTTAAGGCAGAGATTGAAAGCAGCCATTGAGAATACGTATTATGCTGCTCAGTTGGTAGTGATTGAAAAGTCTAAGGCCATGATTCATAATAGACCCAAACAATGCACTAATGATTACGTCACATCCCATTGTATTTACCAATTTACATGTTTGTGTGGACACACATACATAGGTAGGAGTAATCGAACAATGCAATCAAGGGTCAATGAACATGTACCCAGATGGCTTCAAAATCAGTGTGTGTCAAATGATCCGATCAATGTAGGCGGTAGAAAACCATGTTCATCGATAGCAAAACACATTATTGAGACGGGGCACAAAATTAACATTAATACAGCATTTAGAATGTTGTATAGAAATTGTCAAGGTCGAATTCTTAAGTTTATTGAAGCCTTAGCT